GCCCTCAGTCTATAATATTTTTTTATGTTTTACCATACCTTAAACCAACGGCGTTTCCCCCTATTTCCATCTGTCAAAATGCCGACCAAAAACACGACCACGATCACGCGCCGAACGCCACGCCCTGGAGCACGCCATTATTGGGTCCATGTAAGCACGCACCTTTGACCCCCCCCCCCCCCCCCTCTCATTGACGCCCCTCGCTTTTGACAAGCTAGCCATTTCCAAAAAAAGCAAGCAAAGCAACTCAATTCTTGTTCGTGTAACGCAGCTTGCAGACCTGCTCGCCCGCCGTCCCGTCCAATCAGCACCCCCTTCATAAAAAAACCCATGGAAACAGGGCCTTCTCGCGCGCGCGCGCGCGAAAAAACATCAAGAAACTGCTTGCTTTTCGCTCAACGACGGACGGGGCTCATAAAAACTTGGAAAGGACGCGAAATTTCCCTTAGGCAAAAAACGAGTCCATTAAAAAAACGCACAAGACAGCTAGAATACCCCCCTCCGGCACCAGAAACTGCGGAACCCCCAAGACACAGCAACTAGATCAAGCGACCGACCGCTCACTTCGAAAAAAAAACACGAATTCGTCTACCTCGCTAGAGACGAACGCTGCAGCACAAACTGCGGCATCGAGTGCGGCCGTTTGTGCAGCATATTCTTTGGAGACAATCGGAGCCAGTTCGAGTACTGGTGCACGACGCTTGGTTGTGGCCGATAATCCCTTGCGCCAACGGCATCTACGTCCTGCCATCAACGACTGGTCTGCATGGAGAACGCGGTGTGCATGCTCGAGGCCACGAGGATCGAAGTCCCTCCAAATACATAGTCAACGGACGTAGAAAAAATCAAGCACTAAAAACTAAAAACGAAGAATAAGAGAGCATGTAAAAACAAATCTAAGCGCCGAAACCACGAACGTCGGGAAAACAAAAAAAAAAAAAAAAAAAAACGACGGGAACGGTGCGGGCAACTCCATCAAAATGAGGAGGGCGCGCGTACGCACCAATTGGTTCGAGATGAGCGCTGGTGTGCTAGTTAATATTCTCGCGCGAAACGAAAAACAAGGCGTAAAAAAAGTCAACGCGCGATGACCCCAAAAACAAGACAAATAGTAGCCGACAAAATGTAAGTATTCCTACCGTTACAATCCCCCGCCTTTCGACGAGCAATACCCTGTATATAATCAATACTACCCTTCTAGGCGGCATGGTTCTCAATACGTTTGCGCTACGACCACGACCGCCGGTGAGGAGGCCGAGCAACACACAGCCGCAACACACAGCCGCGGACACTTTGGGCAAAGCTCGAAGTGGAACAAACGCCCCTTCCTACTATTGCGAACGGCCGCGAGCATTTGTAGAACCCCCCTTTACCCTATAGAGCGCCTTCCCCCCTCCATCGCGTACCCCGTTCGCGCGGCAAAGCACGAACGTCCCGAAAACACGTCCCCACAACCCCGACAACACCACACATACAGAATGCCTGCCTACGGTGAACACCCGCCCCGTACCCCACCGTCCCCTTTCCTTCCGCAAGGCCCGCTCGCTCACCGTAGGTACCACCAAGGGTTGCCCAACTTTGAACTAGTCCGTGCCCCGCCACCAGTTCATGGCACGCCAGCGTGATCGTGGGATGCTATGGCCAGCCGGGGGGGGACTTAGAGCACAACCTCCGCCTGCATGTTGAGACGCTGCAAGGCTTCCCGCAGCTCCCCAGGCAAGCCCCCAAGCTCGCACTTTCCGTCACCACCGGCACCGCCGACCCTACCTCTGCCGCCTCCGTTTCTCCTTGCCGTCGCCCCGGAGACAAACGCGCGAGCGGCCAGCGTCGTCAGCGGCGGGGGTGTCTCGCGGGCGCAGAACCTCCACATGTCGCCGAACTTGCGCGCCCCGTCGGATCCCCCCGTGATGTAGCAGGCGCCCCCGTGGAAGAACGCGCAGTGGAACGACCGCCCGGTGGGGGAGGAAGGGGTAGCGCGGCCCGCCTCCTCGGCGTTGGCGGCAAAGGCAGCGCTGCCCCCTTGGCCGGACGGCAGCGACACCCACGACAGCTTCTCGCCCACCACCGGCACAGCAGCGGGGGCGGCGGCGGCGGCAGTAGCGGTCGATGGCACTGGTGCCTGCGGCTCGGGTGGGGGGCGGGGAAGGGACAACGCAGCCACAGGCGCGGGGGGGGAGGGAGCGCGGTTGGCAGCCGCTTCTTGATCTTCTGCTCCGCCGCCGCCGCCGCCGCCGCCGCCACCCCAGAGTCCCTGCAGCCGGCCTGCGGCCCACCCCTGCCCCCACGACAGTCTCCCTCATACTGCGGAGTCTCGGCGTAGTGGCATTGCCCTCGTTGCCGCCGCGGGCACGCTCCACGCTAGACGTCTGCCGCCAGAGACGCTGCCCCCTACGCCGCCAGCGCTCTCTTCCGCCCGCTCTTTCCGGGGGGCTCCTGGCTTGCGCCGCTTCCGGCGGTGACTCCTGCCGCGCTTCCTGCTGCAGCTGTTGCTGTTGCTGTTGCTGCTGCTCCTGCTCCTGCGGTACCTGCTGCTGCTGCTGGTTGTGGTGCCGGTACCGCTCCTCCTGCTGCCATTGCTGCTGCTCCGCGAATTCCGTCGCCGACGCCGACGCCCGGCGCCCTAGACCCCCGCCCCGGAAGCCGCTGGGCTTGTTCTCCCTGGCGGCCGCAGCCGTTACCATCCCCGCCGCGTCCGCCGAGAGAGTCCGCCGGAACCGCCCGTCGACCGCCCGACTGCTGTTTCTCCTCCCAACCGCTTCAACAGACCCGACCAGATCCCGCGGTTGGCCGATCACACCCGCCGCTGCCGCCGCTGCCGCCGCCGTACCACCGCCGCCACCGGGTAATGGAGCATCACAGGAGGCCACCGCCGCGGGGGGCGGGATGGCCGTAGGCGCCACTGCCGCCACCGCCGCCGCCGCTGTTCTTTGCGCCGCACGGGGGGCGGGGGGCGCTGAAGGAGGGAGGCGGAGAGCGCAGAACGTGCTGTCCAGCTCCATGCCGCTGGTGAAACCGCCCCAGATGTACGCTGCCCGGCCGACACGGTCCCAGGCGAGCCCGTGAGCGGCCCGGCAACGCGGAGGCGTTCCCGTGGGCCTCACCCGCTCCCACTCCAGCAGTGCCTTCCCGCCGCCGGCGGTGAGCGGCAAGCGGTAGACGTCGAGGTCCGGGCCCTCCGGCTCGAAGGAGCCACCGCCGACGACGTACATGAAGTCGGCGTCTAAGAAGGCCTGGTGCTTGTAGCGGGGGCTGGGGCGCTCTCCGGTGGTAGCGAGCGCCGTCCACGTGCCGGTTGCCAGGTCGAACGCCTGCGTGTCGTTGAAGTACTCGTGGCCTGTGTGTAGGGGGAACGAACGAACGAACGCACACGCGTGCACATGGCGAGAAAAAATGTCACTAATACTCTACATGTAGTACGTTTGAGCATCACTCCTTTTCTACCAGTATACATATTTTTGACGGGCACAACAACAAGAATTTGGTTTTTGAACCCAAATCGTATCCGTGCAGCGCTCGCTATCCGTGGATAAATGTGCAGGACAAACGACAGGTGTAGCCATGGATTTCATCACGTTCGTTTACGAATGTGGTCGCATCAGAAAAACCGTTCATAAACGTACGCCGATGGCAAAGTACGAACAGCAGGAGAGGTGCCCGTGATGCCCGACAGCAGCAGTGGCAGCTGCCCCTCCTCGAGAGCTATTAATACTACAAACAGCAGTATAGGCGCGCAACACAGCACGTGGCAGGTGTGTCAATCCTCGGCGGCACAGCACCCAAACATGGCATCGGGCATGATGAGTGGCTGTGGCAGCAGAAGCAGGATCAAAGCACTGGTGTGTATGTGCGTGGCAAGAGAGAGAGCGAGAGAAGAGAGGGAGACAGCGAGATAGAGTACTGCTGCTGTAGGCTCGATGTCACCACCGGACTCGTATTCGAAGAAAGCCATTTTTGGAAAGCGGACCCTGGCAAAGCATCCAATGAGAAATACGGTTGACACCCTGAGAGAGGGGCTGACAAGCTCCTACGAAGATTGAGGCGGGGGGGGAAGCTGGTCACACGAACTTGCTCCATGCGCGACGCCCTTTCCGGGACCATCATCATCAGAGGTGCACGCCAAAATGTTCAAATCTTCGATCCACCACACCAGTGCTTGATGTTTTGTGTAATGCGCCACTTACCGGTTGAACCTCCAAAAATCACGAGCCGGTTGCGCGTGGAATCGTGAACCATGGTGTGCCCGATGCGTCTGCACGGGCTCATCGTCTCGGGTGCCGCAGACGGCGCCGCAGATCCTCCCTCGTACAGCAGCCGCCACGCGCGGCGGCGAACGCAGAACTCCCAGCAGCAACCCCGCAGGTCGTAGGGGTCGTCGCCAGCGCCGCCCGAGAGAAACAGCCGGTCCTCCGCGTGCTCCCCTTCGCTTGCGCACATCGCTGCGCAGGTGCGCTCTGCTGGGCGCGGCTCCTCGCTCGCAGAGTCCGCAGCCCGGGCCGGGGGCCTCACCTCCGACCAGCGCTGCCGCGCCAGGTCGTAGACGTGCAGGTCGCCCAGGCAGATGGGCAAGGCCTCGGCGGGAAGCTGGGCATCAACGCTGGCCGCGGCGGCGCTGCTTGCCGCCGCGGGATGCCCACATCCTCCGAACACGTAGAGCGCGTCCCTGGCAACCGTGGCGCAGTGACCGCTCCTCGCGGTCGGGCACCCGCTGCTGTTGACGAGGCTCCAGTGCTTGGCCTTGCCCGTCATCAGGAAGGAAAGGCCTGCCTCCTCTGCTGTCCGCCCAGTACCGCTTCTCGTTTGGTTCTCGCTCTCTCAACTCTCAACTGCAGCAGCAGCAGCAGCAGCGAAAGATGCACAGCAGTACGGAGGGTATTTTATTGCGAGCGAGAGCCAAGGGCGCGGCGGTCCCCACACGGGCGATCCACCCCACGTATCTTTACAGGTACAGGCGGAGGCAAGGGCAAGCTGGCAAGAGGGACGACAGGGCAGACAAGAAAGAGAGAGCAGCAAGGATACCTGGCGTTCGTGACGTGTGCACCAACAGCAAGGAGCACAAGCGCTGATGATGTGGTTTCTCGCGTCTGTCGGCAGAGATTTCTCCAGTGGCAAATTGCCTCGTAAAGATCCCGGGGATTCGAAAAAAAAAAAGTCTTCTCCCTTTGACGGGGCGCGCGCTTGGAAAATACTCGGTGGCGGTCAGCAAATCTGTGTCTCTCTGGCGTTTACACTCTGTCTCCCTTTTCTCAATTTCGAAACTCGAATCAACATTTCGCCATTCTTGTGCTACGTAAATAGGAAGGCAAAAGGCATCACCAACGTGCTGTTGTTCCCTAGGATGGAGAGCAAAAAAACAAGACAGAAGATGCTAATCTACACCGGCACGAGGCACTGCATGTATGTATATACCAGTATGTATTGCATATATATCTGTATACTTACTTTGCGCGTCTTTTTGAGTGCATTACACAATGACAGCAGCAGCAGAGCAGGGGAATTTGTTCCAATGGAACCAACCTGTCGGCACTGCTGTGTCTTTAATTAAGGAATAATAAATTGTTGAAAGCAAGCCGACGAATATCGTCGGCGTTGCTAGTCCCAAGCTTTATATTTTTATTTTAGTCGCGTGTTGCGCGTGTGCTGACACCACGAACGGGAAGGACCTTAATTAGCCGACACACTACGCAATAATGGTCGTGATGGACGCGGGTACGCAATAAAAAAACAACACATACATCCGATCCTCGGGAATCACGAAATGCAACGTCTACATACACACGGTAGGCACTCTGTCTGTCCCTTTAACACGGTACGTACTGCTTTTGCCTACCACTCACTCTCGTCCTCTCGTCCGCATCAACAACAAACAATGCAACTTGCCGCACAACAAGAGCCATCCCTGCAGGAAAAGCTGTACAAACAAGCAAAAAGCAGCTCCTGCTGCGGTAAGCTGCTGCTGTATGTACCATTTTTCAGCACGCACGAACAACAGATACAGCACAGGCGAAAGAGCTGAGTCTGCCTGTCTGTGTCTGCGTCGGCGTGAGTAGGGGTGGGTGTGAGGTATCGATAGAGTAACGACCGAGGATGTTTTTTTATGTTTATTCTTCTTAATATGACACAACGAATCCATCTCCATCATAGAAAAGAGTCTGAGACAGATTAGCAATGAATTCATTGTGTATGGCATCTCGACGAGTATCGTCGCGTTGCCTGTCTGAAGCTTTCGATTTTTGCAGCGGGTAACAATCAAGGTAGACACCAAGAAGATGCCCGATGAGCACACAGGAACCGGGGGACCCCAAAATACAAAAGCATGAAAAACAAAAGAAAGAAAGAAGCGAGAACAAACGAGTCAGACGCGACAGGCTTCAGGGAGGAGGCAAAAGAGCGCATAGAAGAAAAGCACCGTCGCCGCTCGCTCCGGACCGCTGGAAACTCTCACATAGCACTACATATGGAGCAAATATTAGGTAGGGCCCAAGTCCATTGCTTGGCATAACGCCCATCGCTTCACATGCAGCAGCCGGATGCACGGGTAGCCTCTTACTCAGCAAAAAGCGAAACGACTGCGGTTGGTTGACGTTCGATGTTGTTGGGACCCTACCGGCGAAAGGCGAGAGAGAGAGAAAGAGAGGTAGACAAAAATACGAGAGCGGAGAGAAGACAAGGCATTGACTCTCTCGAGAAGAGAAGGCATTGACTCTCTCGAGAAGAGAAGGCATTGACTCTGTCGAGAAGACACTCACTCTCGTCCCTCTGGCCCGCCGCAGGCTGTCAGACATGATGTCACGTTGTGTATCGAACGGCGATATCCGATGTCGGCTCAGCAACAGCAAACAAGCACAACAACAAACAAATATAGTCAGTCGCCGTGTGCGAGCTGTGGACTACTATCTTGTTGTAGGAAGTGAGAACTAAAAAGAGCACGACTACATAGCACCACGGACGAACTATTATCGCAATACGCTTGCCGTCCGCCATAGATGCGCACCGCTGCACGAACGAGCTGTTGGTTATCATACCTCACTACGTAGTATCTAAGATTGTGCTGCCATCTAGCTTACCTATCGCTCAAATTACGACTACGCAGCAGACTCAAGGCAAGGAAGCAACACGCGTGCCGATGCATACCAACCATGCATGCAGCAAAACAAAACAAGGCGGACCGTCTGTTGTTGTTTGTCTCTTCAACTGACTGTGCTGCCGACAACGACACTGGAAAAAAGTAGGAGACGCGCATCGCCTACGCGAGCAACGCGTGCAGCCCAAAAAAACAGAGACGATAACCTTACGACCTTTCTTTTCAGCACATTCCGAGCATATACTGCAGCAACCGCAAGTATGTGTACAGCAGCAGCCGCATGTTGTGTACAACAACGGTCACTCAGGAAGAAAATCACAACAACAAACAAACGCAAAAAAAAAAAGGTGGTGGCGCGCAGCACGCAGGACCCTCTTTCGCTTTGAACCGGCCATTCCCATGGCGAAACAGACAAGGTACAGCAGTGAAGGCCGACTCTTGCCGGCCCCAGGAGGCGGAAGCTGCTACAACTCGGGGACGGGTCATGATTTGCGATTGATTCCTCACCGAACGGATATCGAACGATGACACTACTGTTTCAACTAGCTTCAGAAAAGCTTCAAAATTAATTGTGAAACTTGCATAGAGATGGCAAGTAAACACCCCGTTCCAAAGAATATCTATCTGTCGTTGATTTTTATTGACTTGCGGACCTTTCGGGGCCAGTTTGTTTTAGCGTACCTCTTTAGGGTAAGTTAGCCTGTGACCACGGGAATCGACCGCGTCAAGTGTTGGATCAGTACGCACATATGAAGGTACTGGGTAGAGAGAGATCTGAACGGTTTTTAATGCGAAGACAACAACAACAACAACAACAACAACATTTAAAACTGAACTAATGGGTGGTGGGCGGATGACCGGCGGACCCCAAAAAGCAAGCGGAAAAATAAAATATATATAGACTATGTTAAGAAAAAAAAGAAAAAGAAGAAGGGACGACAAAGACAAGTGAGCCAGACGCGACAGGCTTCAGGGAGGTGGCAAAAGAGAGCATACGAAAACCACCGTCGCCGCTCTGAACCGCTGGAAGCTGTCACATAGCACAGCATGCAGCAAACATTATAGGGGCCATGCCCCCGTTGCTTCAAGTAAAGAGGCAGCGCCCATCGCCTCACATACAGCAGCCGGGTACGTACTACACAAATAGCCTCTTACTCAGCAAGAAGAAAAACGATTGCGGTTGACGTTCGATGTTGTTGGGACCCCAACGGCGATAATAGGCGAGAAGGAGAGACAGGTGCTACTACTACGTAGATCAACAGAAGAAAGCGTAGAGAAGGCATTAATTAACTCTCGAGACCCTAACCGAAGACACTCACTCTCGTCCCTGTGGCCCACCGCAGGCTGTAACGAACGACGACATCCGATGTGTGCTCAGCAACAACAAACGCAACAAACCAAATATAGTCGCCGTTTCCGAACTAACTGTGGAGACTCTCTTTCATCACTTGTGGTATGAAGTATGAAGTGACAACGAAATAGAAAATGATGACGAGAAGCACCACGGACGAACTATTTTCTCAATACGCTTGCCGTCGCGATAGACGCGCACCGTTCCACGAACGACCAGTTGTCAAACCTCACTACGCAAATAAGATTGTTGTCCTGCCATCTACCCCTTATCGCTCAAATTACGACTACGCAGCACACTAAAGGTAAGTAAGGCAGCAACACGCTTGCGATGCTTTACCACCCATCCATGCATGTAAGAGAAGAAAAAAAAAAGGGTATGGCGGACCGTCTGTTGTCTGTATCTTCAACCGTGCTGCCGTTGCTTTTCTTCATGGATATCGGCACAGAGAAAAAATGAGGAATGCGCATCTCCTACGCGAGCACGGCGTGCAGCCCAAGCGACAGAGACGATAACCTTATGACCTTTGCAGCATCTTCCGAGCATAACAGCAGCCACCGCATGTGTACAACGGTCACTATAGACTAAGGAAGAAAATCACAAAATCACTGGTTATCGCCCCACAGCGAGCGATAGCTGCTCAAACGACTGTGAGAGGTCTTGAAATCGTCTCAGCTACCCAGAACTGCTGGTAGTTGCCGGAGATTTGCAGGTACGTACTGCTTTTGCCTACCACTCTCGTCCTCTCGTCCGCACATCAACAACAACAATAAAATGCTAATTTTCGCACCACAAAAGAGCCATCCATGCAGAAAGTTGCAACAACAGAACAAAAGCAGCTCCTGCTGTATGTACACAGAATGTCCAGCTGTGTGCTGAGGTCGGTCAGCATCTCGAGAGAAGCGTAGCCAGCAAGCAAGGCTTGGCGCGGGACACGAGAGAAGCAAGCAAGGCTTGGGGCGGGCGGCGAAAAAAAGAAGACGACTCTATATAAAAAGATCTGTAAAAAGAAGGGTTGGCGCGGGCGGCGAAAAAAATGAAGACGACTCTTATACAAAAAGATCTATAAAAAGAGGACCCTCAACGACAAGTCAACCAATCTGGTCGTTCCGATGTGACGATGTAACGCAGATCTTCTTGTCGACGGAGAAACTGGTTATCGCCCCACAGCAAGCGATAGATGCTCAAACGACTGTGAGAGGTCTTGAAATCGTCTCAGCTACCCAGAACTGCTGGTAGTTCTCGGAGGTTCGCAGTGTGGGCTGAGATCGGCCTTTTCGACCCGGTCGGGCAAGGGGTCCGCTATGCTACTGAAAACTCCACAGACGGAAAAAAAAGACTTTTGATCGACTGAGACCCAAGCTAGAGCTTGGGAACTACGAAACCATCTCCATCATCTGATCTCCATCATAGAAAAGAGTCTGAGACAGATTAGCAATGGATTAATCATAGCGTCACCTGTATTTTCAATGTGGTACGCGTATGCGAAAAAAAAGAAGACGACTCTATAAAAGGAGGACCCCGAACTAATAATAATCTGGTCGTTCCAATGAGATCCTTTTGTCGAAACTGGTTTTCGCCCCACAGCGAGAGATAAGCTGCTCAAACGACTGTGAGAGGTCTTGAAATCGTCTCAGCTACCCAGAACTGCTGGTAGTTCTCGGAGGTTTGCAGTGTGGGCTGAGATCGGCAGTCCTCTGTCTCGTCCGCACATCAACAACAACAATAAAACGGGCAAGGGGTCCGCCTCTTATACAAAAGTATCTATAAAAAGAGGACCCTCAACGACAAGTGAACCAATCTGGTCGTTCCGAAGTGACGATCTGGTCGTTCCGATGTGACGATGTAACGCAGATCTTCTTGTCGACGGAGGCACTGGTTATCGACCCACAGCAAACGATAGCTGCTCAAACGACTGTGAGAGGTCTTGAAATCGTCTCAGCTACCCAGAACTGCTGGTAGTTCTCGGAGGTTCGCAGTGTGGGCTGAGATCGGCATTTTCGACCCGGTCGGGCAAGGGGTCCGCTATGCTACTGAAAACTCCACAGACGGAAAAAAAAGACTTTTGATCGACTGAGACCCAAGCTAGAGCTTGGGAATACACACACAGAAAGACTACCCATTCGAGATATCCCCACAGCAGTCGAACGGGATGTGGTGGAGTCCCTTCAGTGAGTGTCTTGAGCGAGCGACCAAAAATAAATGCGAACAGGGTCCAAAAGCCGGTCGGTGCACCCGGCGGCTATCAAGCCACAATAAATATATCGTTCGTATTTTTGGGAACTACGTACTTCTTTCGCATACATGAATGCTTGTTGCATGTTCGCATGTTTCCATCTCGGACCCGATGTCCCGCCTCCAGACTATACGCCGTCATGGGTCCGTCGTACTTGGAAGAGGCGAATTTGTTTCATCATCTTCGAAAGACACAAAAATAGCAGAAAAGAGTCAAGGCACGCGTGTGCTGCACCACAGAATGACCGATCTCAGTCGAGAGGTAAAGGGCTCGAGGACACCATCAACTTGCTGTGAAGTTTTAGCTTTTCCGAGGGAGAAAAGAAAACACACCGGCGAATTTGAGGGGGAAACACGAACAATTAAGCGCGGACCATTCATGAAAGAACGTAGAGACGTTACTACCGGCGGCATTTCGATGTGGGTAAATAAACTTTCACATCACACGCGCACGTGTTGCCCAAATAATTAAGCGCGTCGTCACCGCCGACAATAATAGCGTGACAGAGATCACGCACACCGGAAGTAGCCCATACAGCAGTTTTCCTTCACGGCGTGAAACAACGCACAGCAAGCAAGCAGTTTTTTTCCTCGTTCTTCTCTCGTCGCTCCAACACTCGTCGGTACACTCGAATGCTCGTGCGCGCGTCGTCCTAGAGACAATCAACCCCAATCAACCCCTTTCACACGCAGAAGAATTCAAGAGTAAGCGTCGCCGTCGTCCATTCCAACCAAGGCATTCTACAGTCTAAAGTCTAGAGTCCGGGAAGACACCTACACAAACCCAAAACGGGTGTGTGTGCGTCCCCGCTCGCCAAGCAAAACCCAGAAAACCTCTAGTAAGAGGGGCCTTTCTCTTCCTCAAAATCGGACACGGCTGCCAGCGACATCAAAATGGTGCTACAGCAGCAGCCGAGCCACCCACGGCTTTTCTAGTTTTTGCCGCCTCATCACTTGAGACACTCCGGGAAAACCCTGTCTGTACGTAATCTATCCTACCCCCCATCCATGACGCTCCAAGACCCCGCACGGTATTCTGCGCGGCAAATCGCAACAACCATAAAGAACGAACGACTGCTGTTTCCCGGTTCAAACACACGTATGGATGGAGCCCATTTGGGTTTCCGAGGCCGAGACATCATCTTGTGCACGGCCCCATAAAAAAAGTACGGAGAACAGGTAGACTAGTGCTCCTTTTACTCCTTCTTGTAGACGGGCTTGACGGGCTTCAACGGCGTGTTCACGTTGTAGTCCCACGCATCCTTCTGCTTCTGTTAACGTTCAGTTTACGGTGTAGCGCCGGCACGGGGGGAAGGGGGAAGGGGGGGAGGGGGGAAGGCGGGAAGGGGGGGGGGGAGGGTATCAGGGCTCGACAGCATTAGTACGCAGACAAGGACAAAAAACATCACGCAAGAGGGTGCCAGTAAGCACAAAGGAGGCATGCTTAGGCACGACGACCAACATTTCTAGAGTGCGCTCGTATGTCGTCCGCCGCGAAAATACGTAAGTCGGCTGTGGTGGTACAGGGTGCGTTTCGATCGTCATGTGTCACATGCCGGACGAACACCAAAAAGTTCAAATCGTCACCATGATGTCAGCCTCCAGGCCGCCGCGTGGTATGTACTCTCGCACGAGCAACTGTTCTCCTATCAAAGGGGAGGTGGGTGCGTGCGGTAATTCTCGTCAAACCCACCCCTGGGGCCCGTATGGTGTCTTTCACGGTGCAGCCGACAACAGCATCCCGGATCAGTTGTTCACACGGCAGGGAGTGGCTCGCCCGTTTATTTACACCCGCTACACGAACGTTTCCAAGTTGAAAAAGCAAACAAAAAGGACCCAACAACCGCCGCGGAATCGAAAACGATTTCAGAGGTCACCGTCGCCTCTCACCGATCGAACAAGGAAAATAGATACAACGCACAACCAAGAAAAAGAAAGGAACAACATTGGGGGGCGACCTCGGCAAAACACATCATGTTTTAGATCCCCGATCGCTTTTCAAGGAAACGCCATGCCATAGAAGCATAGCACGACCATATGGTACAAGCGAGGGAATATGAGCAACGACTGCTGGGACCAATCCCGTAAACAATGTTTCCTTCGATCATTTCCTAAAGACCACAGCAACCAAAGAAACTAAGAATCAATGGAGCTGTTCGAGACCACCGTGTACGGTCAACCGTCAACAAGTCAACGCCGAAATCCAACGCCATATGCATATGGCCATTTTGTTGCTATGAAAAAAGCACCCTAAATTAATTCCAACTTGAACACAAGCCTCGCGGCCGATTCACAACTAAGCCGATATCCGGAACCTCGTGAGCCAAAAAATCCCGCAAGAACAAAACAACTGTCTACGCAGGCATGGAGCTGGCAGTATATAGGCTCTTGTCCGTTCTCGTAAAACACACCACCCGTACGTACCTTGTTAACCTCCCCAGAGTAGCCGGTCGGGAACGGGATGTAGTCCGTGCCGTCGTTGGTCGAGAACACGCGGCCGACGGCCTCGACGAGCTTCTCGAGCTCGCCCTTCTCTGCCAAGCTGGACGAGTCACCCATGATCGTCAGGACGTCGTCCACGGTGACGAGTTGCATCTTGACAAAGGATAGATCAACGTGCCGGAGGAGGGGGTGGGGGGAGAGACGAAAGCGTCGGCACTGGTATACATTCGGAGGTTACGATAGCGCCAGCAATGATGAGACAGCAGAAAGAAGGTGAGCCGTGGACAGACGCGGGCAGGCGGTGACGGTAAAGGCTCTGTTGGAGGCGCTAGTTTACCACAGCGAAGACGCCCACAGCAATCAGTCCGGAGACGACGGCGATCGGAAAAGGGGAGAAGGCATTAATCTTTCATCCATTGGTCTGGCTCTTGCGTGGGTAACATGGGAGGGGGACGAGGAAACAAAAAACAAGCGAAAGTTGATGGCCTCAAACATGTGCTCACGAGAAAAAGTTAGCGAGCACTTTGCGTCACGCACATGAAGGGCGTTAATGCCATGACGAAGACACCGGCGGCGGGGGGGGGCACATGGTATCAGGAGTACAAGACGGTTTGCACACACACACAACTTAAAAACGATACCGTTTCAATCTGGTATTCTGCCGCATGCCTGCGCACAGCTTGAGGAAAGCCGTAACCGAGACGAGATGTTCCGGCACTAACCCTTGCATTCATTTAGTAACAGCAGATGCGGCAAAAAAGAGAGCGACAAAATTCGGCAGCCGCTTCAATAAGGTTGATTTCCTGCCCAACAAAAAAGCGGCATCAGCCATGACGACCTTCGATATTTTACATAACGAGCGAGATCAGACTCCTTCATGCCAGTCTCCACCCCAAGCGACGACCGTCCTGTCCCGGGAAGACACTACTGCAGTCGGTTGTGTTCGTCGCAGGGAATTCGCCGGTAAGGCAAACGACGGACTTGGAGCCCCGCTTCATAGATTTCAGCTGGTCAAGGAACACGCCTGAGGCGCGCAGCGGGCTCGCTTCGTTCACAGCACGCACACGATCACCTCATGCATTGGCCGACAACCACAACAGCAGTTGCAGTAATCGCTGTAAATACAAGCAAGGGCCTTTCCCCACTGCGGTCATGGCAATATGTTACCTGATCTGATCGAATGCGTACATACCTCGAGCTCCTTCTTCTTGGTCTTGAGCTGGTTCAACAGGGTGGACACGGTCTCCACCGAGCACCCGTCTTCCTGGCAGGACAGCGCCATGTCCTTCAACTCTTGCGCCTGAGGGAGACGCGAAACAGTTTTAAGGAGCGACGAAAATCGAAGCGAGTCACGTTCGATTCTTTCTACAAACGACGGAGGGGTCTTCACGACCTTGGTGCCCAAAAGCATACTTCCATCTGGCAAGTTAGGGGTGCCAAGGGACGCCGTGAATGTTTGGGTTGGAAAAACAAAGATGGAGCATGCCGGCAAAGCGGCGAAACCATGCTCATCAACTCCCCCAGTTCGAGTAGTGCCATTGGCACGAGACATGAATGAGGGCGTACCCCTTCGGTTCGGGTTCTTCGCGCGAAGTACGCGGTGTGCCCGCGCCGCCTGGAATGCTCTCAGTCTTGCTGTACCCACAGCAGTTGCGCATATATGGAGTATGTCGAGACCACTGGTGTCACTGAACAGTGTTGCACGTGCACTCCCCGTGCGCAGCGAACAAGGTGCCGTTTCATGCGGGCAACCGTCAACCGTAGGTAAAATATGTAGTTATGGGATGGGACAGCCGCGCCGACGAACTTCTTTTCAACGAAAGCCGCAACACCAGCACCGACGGACGATTTGTCTTAACACCGCCGTTGTGCCGTCTGCCGTGAACGCTTCTCTAGAGAGTTTTGTGTGAAGACATCGATGGGAAACTGGAGGTCTGGGTAAGGCAGGGAGAGGAGATCTTCCAGCAAGAAAACCTAGACATCGAGGGGTCAAACGTCCCAGCGGAGGGAAGGAACGCCGAGCGAATGTTTTCCATGGAAACGCCGAAACTCGGAAGCGACGTCGGTGCTGAGTAGCAACGAGACAGGGGCACGAGGACCAACACAACATTCGCTGTGTGTATGGGCATTTCCGCCGCACATCGCACAAAACCGGTCTTCCGTTACGTTCTCGCTTAAGCGCGGGAGCAGTAAACATTTTGTTCCGCCTATAACGCGGGATGCATCGCTCATTCTTTTGTCTCGCGGGGGGTGTCGTGGGGTGGGGTGGGCGTTCGTCGGCGAACCGCGCAAAATGCCCGGTATCGTGCAACCAGCAAAGGCGTGGGTGGTGGCCGAGGTACAACACCTATTTGATACAGTTCAGCTATTCAAGTCCAACATTCAACAAAATAAACACCTCTATAGGTATCTGTTTAGACGACACGAGCCCCGCATGTTTGCCTGTTGCGGCCTGCTCAGTCGCTGAGCACATACCATCATTGTGAAAGTTGTTCAGGACACTACATACTACTGCTGTTAGACACCAAAGCATTCCATCATGTATCGGCCATCTTCTGACACCGCCTGAGTGTTTTTTCCCGAGACACACGGCATCATGATGATGTTCGATGTTTGAAACGCAGGTTGCATGTTGAGCTTACTCAGGTGTGCGTTCATGACACCAAAGTCGGACGGGTGCGTGTGTTTGACCGTGTACTTTGTGCGGGAGTCACAAATCTACCAGGGCAAAGGGATGGCGAATCCATTGGTGCAAATGGGATGGACAACAGAGCACGGCTTGAAGGTGTCCTTGCGATTCAACTTGTGGCGACATTCTCGAAAAGGACCACCCGCTGCTGCCCATGTTCGGCCACACGTACTTTTGGTGGCACAAGTCCATCTAACACAAGCGTGCCATGACGCCATTATTAGACAAGCCCCAGCAACAGCAGTAACTACTCTCCTACTCAGAGTGAACCTTCATGTCGTGCGTGGGGAGCCCGCCCACACGCCTTCGCACTAATCTTTCATGACAGCGAGCGATCATCTCAGCTGTGGTACCATCTGCTCCCCCAAATTCAAGCGGAGAGCTAGCATGTGTGCGCTCTCACTTCTACGCTTGTACCGTACTGATCCGAAACCAAGCCCGCGGTTACAACGGCTGGCCAAGATAGATGCATCTACGCTTGATCGGTCTCTCGGGTTCTTGATCGTGGCGTCTCACCGTGGGTGGGGCGGTCATCGGTGCAGGCGATGCACTCATGCGCGTTGTGGCCACGTTGGCGGACGCCGACCTCCTGCCCATTTGAACGCCGGCGAGAGGGGTGACGAACGCCGTCGCGGCAGATGTGAAGATGGCCAAGAAGGCGAAAGCAGAGAAGCGAGCCATGGTGTTTTGTGCCGTGGAAGATCTCCGTCGGGGGAAAAGAGAAAGTTTGTGAAGCGGTGTTGTGTGTGTAGGCGTCCACGGAAGCAGAGAAGGTAAAACAAAGCCAAGCTGCGGAGCGCGCGTGGTGTGTCAGGCGCATGAAAAACCAGGGCATGTACCCCCCTGTACTGACGGATTTTTGCCTGCGTGGCCCCCACGTACGTCCACGAGCAAAGAGAGAAAAAGTGATGGTGTGCTATTGGTTTGTGTAGAACTTCCAGTTCGGAGAGCAGGGACGGGGCATATAGAGCGCTGCGGGACAGGACCTGGCATCACAGAGGTGCGGAATGCGCTGGACTTTCGTTGGGTTTGTAGCGCCTCGAATGGGCTCTGCGCGTAATCTCTCGGAGTTTTGCTCTCTGTTGCCTCTTTTTTTGTTTTGAGAGCCATAATCAGGTTGGGGTGGTGCGCTGCAGAGCGCGGAGTGTTGGGAGCAAAAGGGCAGAGGGAGGGAGGGTGTTCGACATCCCCGCACTTGGAATATTGTGGAGTACGCGCGGACCTGCGCGGTGGCTGGATAGAAAACTAGCCGCCCCTTGCCTGTGGCCCTGTGGACAACATCTCTCCTAGGTCGGAAGCAACAACGCTTGCTTCCGCTACTCTCTTCCCCATCTATACGAGAAGAGGGAGAGAAAAGCGCGTGCCACCAGCAGCAGAGAGCACCATCTGCAGGACGACCTCTATTTATAGTCTGTTTGGTGGGGGGGAGGATTACTTGGTGGTGTGTAGTGAAGTCCATTTATCCGCACCTCCCTTTCTGATGGATGCATCTACAGACGGCACATGGAACCGCCCCCCAAGGGCGTTTTTTGTTTGTCATGCATAAGCATTCGCGCCCATCAAATACTACCGCGTTTTTGAGGAAAAGGGTACCGAACGAGACCGAAAGAGGAACGACAGCAGTGTGGAAGGGGGGCAGAGTTTCCCTCTTCACGGCTCTGGAGAGAATAGAGACACACACAGACAACTAACTGTGCTGAAATTCTTAGCGCGTGAACCCTCTTCCGTCGCTCGGAGATCACGCTCGATTTGAGACTTGTTTCTCCAGCACAGCCTGGACGCATACCAAAGGGTAGATGAAGCCGGCGAGGCAGTGTCGCCAACGCTTCTTGTGAATAAAGTTGGCGGCGATCGGACCCACGGCAACAAAAACACCCGCTTGCTTCTGAAGTCGGGTGTACAATAGGGGTACACATGAAAGCAACATACAAGGGGATTGAGTGCTGATTCAGGCCATGAGTGCCGACCGCTGCTGGTAGTCAGTCCCCGAATGACTGACCAAATCACCTCATGGAACGCAACATATACAGCAGCTACTCCGCTGCGCTGTGACCTCGCTGTTTGTTCGAACGCGTTGTGTGTCTTGTATGTTGGCCGGCAAAGGCACAGAAGAGCAGCAGCCCCGAAAGACGGCTTTGGAAGTATTGACTAAATAGTCGATTGGAGCCCCCAAGTGCATTCCCACCTCGCACTAACTGGTATGTGTTCCCGGGCTGCTGACCCGATGTCTAGTCCTCTCTCTTGTGTCACGCGCACCTGCTGCAGGGTATTGCCAATCCCTTCTTTTTTTTCGTCCGTCGTCCCACTCGTTTACTCCTGTACTACGGCACATTCGCTCTCCGCTTCCTACTTCCTACTTCCTACCCCCGCCAGGAAGCAGTGGGTGCCATGCATATGCTCTCTTTCACAAGCAGGCGTCCTTGAGTAGTGGATCGTTCCCAAGCAGCGGCCTTTTCTCTTAGCGTTATTGTAGTGGTGGCGGCCGCCACTTCGTCATTTTTTGGGCAACACTGCTGCTGCTCTGTCCATCCCGTCTCTCTGCAGGCTGCACGCGCGTAGTACCCACGGCAGCAGCAGCAGCAGCAGCAGTCGCGGTATCCATACATAACACGGCAGCAGCTGCAGTAGCAGCAGCAGCAACAGGCAAGGCATTCGCCAGATCATATTCTCTCAGCCATTGTATTCTATGGTTGTGGTTGTTCTGCTTGCATGCAGAATGGCACACGGTGCCAGTCTTGTTCCCCTTTCGTGACGGGCGTCGGTTCACCCCTCCTCCGGGGGGGGTATGTTTGCATACTTCACATGCGTTTGGTGCGATTGGCATTTGTGTACGTATGGCAGATTTTGTCAAGTAGAAAGTATACACACAATTGTACACTAAACAAAGGGATCTACCCGTTGGAGACACAACCACAGCAGTTGAGGTGGGTGTTGTAAGCCTTTTCGGTGCATGGGGGACTAGAAACCTGCTGAATTCTGTTTTTTTTTAACGGTTTGCCTGCGCTCCTTGTGGGCAGAACGGCTTATAACATGATTTCTTGATTCGTGTACAACAGCAGTCTGTCGATTTCGTGAAATGTGTTATTCTGCGCGAAGTTTTGTTTGCCTCTCTTTGTTGTGGTCATTGATGCTGTCAACACAAGGGTGGGTGGTGTTAAAAGAAGCGCGCGGATGGGTGTGGTGAACATTTTTCATATTTTGACGAACGTCCTCCTCATGTACGTATGTGTTGTCTACCTTGGCAAACAGCAAGCATTGGTGCCTGGTACAGCGTAGATGGCGAGTTAGTCGAAATGTTGCTTTGGGCACGAAACATCCAAATAGTTGTTATCCTCTGCGTTTCCATCGTTATGCTGTGGAAAGAGCGCGGGCAGCCCCTTGCAGGCGCATAGACGACTTGCCTTGTGGTCGGTGGCAATATACTTTTTAAGCGTGAAGGCCACGCAGTTTCTGGACAAACCTTACATCACGAAGATGAACACAGCATACTTGTCGGTCGCAGCAGTGAGTAGGGTAAATGCTTTTGTAGGAGGGGGGTCCCTTCCACAGTCCCCTAGACAAAGCGTTCCAGATAGGGTTTTGCTGGAGCTGAAGGCTTTTTTTTCGCTGCGGCAGGCTGCGGGACCATTTCGAGCGGCTCAAGACTGAAAACTGTTGCTGCACAATACATCGCAGTGCACCTCCTGGTCCTGAAACTCGTCTCTCTCTCTCTCTCTCTCTCTCTCTCTCTCTCTCTCTCTCTCTCTCTCTCTCTCTCTCTCTCTCTCTCTCTCGCCCA